TAGATTTTATTAACTATGCTTCCAGAAAAGACCATTGCATTGATTATATTTAAAATTTTTGATACAAAAATAGAAGCGAGCTTTATTCAACATTACTGTATCTGTGCAACTATCTATGTAACTATCTATGTATTAACCCTATTAATTGCAATTTCGGACTATTTCTCCTCAGAGTAAATAGTTTTAATAATATCTTCGCCTTGTTTGTAAGTAGTAATATTTTATAGAACGGCTCTGGAAAGTCCTTTTCTATTATCTTTTTCCAACTTCTCTGTTGAGAATTCCATTCATTATTTATCATATATGAGCCAGCATAACTCTATATTCTAAAATTTCTTATTATTATAATAAACATGGAGGTAACTACCTCCTCGTTAAATTTACTCTTTTACCTATTTGCCTTGTTGCTTGGTACAATAATACAATATGTCAAAGGTAGATATAACTTGATTGAGAGTATAGTAAACTCAGTGTAAATGACCGACTCTCTCGCTAATTCAATAGCTTTACTAACTCAACGTCGTTGCTAACCCAATGTCTTACCATATGTCATCAGCTTATAGCTATGCGCCGGAACCTGTAACATATGTAGAGTTCGTTGGTATACCCCGTATGGAAATACTGCCTAGAAATAGATTTGATTCGACGTCCTTAAGCCGTCGAGATTTTGAGTTTGATTCTTCCTTGCAACACGACGATTCGTTACGTTTGAGATTCAGTGCATTCAATAGAACATTTAATATGCATCTTGAACCTAACACAGACTTATTTCACCCTGAAGCTACAATTACTATACATCATAAAAATAAAACTAGTACAACAACAAGGTTAATACCGCAAGATTACAGACTATTTAAGGGAGTCTTGCTGGACGTTGACTCTACTGATAGAAGATTAAGCGAAGATATTGTCGGCCTTAAAAGGCTCAGTTTACATGAAGAGCTCTCTACTTCACCAGGTGTTCTTGGGTGGGCAAGAATAATTGTTCTAAACGATGGAAGGTACGTATAATTCTTAAGAATTTAAGAGAATTTAAGCATTTATGATCCGGAATTGTTGAACTAACATCTTTTTATTCTTACAGCTTAAATCAAAAACATTTGACATTTGAAGGCACCTTCTCTTTTAAGGGCGACCTTCACCATATAAAATCCATTGACAATTTTCAAGTAGCTCAGTTTCGTGATGATCCGGAAATACCAAATCCGTCATCTCGTCATCCTAGCCATCGTGATGCTACCATGGTCATTTATCGTGACTCTGATATAAAAAAAACTAATAAGGGCAATGATGATCAGGTATGGTCATGTGCAATGAACGAACAAATAAGCAATCGGAACCGATCAGATAGACATTACGTAGAATACCGTGAACCTTGGAAATTTGGAGCAAATGATAAAAATGATGTGGGAACGGAAAACTGGTTGTTCAATTTCGGTTTTAATGTTCGAAATAGGAATGCAATTTCTAGAAGACATAAATTATCAAAGAGAGCTACAGGATGCCCTACCGCAAGAAGGATAGCATACATGGTATTAATTTTTCTTTTGCCAGTTGATTATAATTGTATTTTTAAATATTAATTTTTTTTTATGATTTTAGGGTGCTGCTGCTGATTGCACTTATGGTTAGTGATTAATTTTCCAAGTTCAAACAATATCTGTATATAGTTTATTTTCTGTTTATTTATCGAAAAACTTTTCTTAAATAAATGTGGTTGACAGTTGAAAGCTATAAATCATCAGACGCGGCTCGGAAACAAATTCTTAGCGATTGGGGTACTGCATCAGCTGTTTATGAAAGAACTTTTAATGTCACCCTTGGTTTAATTTATATTGAGATTCAAGATTCAACGTGTCCTCCAACACCTAATCCGGCATGGAATAGACCATGTTCGGATTCATATAGTATAAGTGATAGATTGAGTGATTTTAGTAAATGGAGAGGTGCCAAAGGTAAATAAAATAAAATAATAAATAAAATAAAAACACAAAATTTTAACTTGCATGCATTCTCTTATTTTATAGGAGATGATGGTGCAGCATTATGGCATTTAATGTCCAAATGCAAGTGAGTGTACCTGATTATAACATGTTATAAGGGTGATTCGTATCACATACCTTTTTTTTTTTTTTTTTTTTTTTACAAATTTTATCTTTTGGACTCTTGTTTTTAAAGCACTGGCACAAAAGTTGGTATTGCTTGGTTAGGACAACTATGTCAAACATCTGCATCTTCACAAAGCAATGGTGAGTGATAATTTGTTAATCTATTTTGCAAGACATGCACATCATTACAATCATAAATGGAATTGGTGGTTTGTCGCTTTTAGGTACCGGTCAGGCCTTTGTTTCAGGGGCTGGTGTATCCACAATTGTTAAAGACGAATGGAAAGTAGTTGCACATGAAGTCGGGCATGGTTTTGGTAACTAATCTCATATCATAATTTTTATAAAAGTATTGACGATGTTACTTAGGTATTAGTAATTATCTAGGTGCTTACCATGATTGCACTTCAAGCACATGTCCATGCAGTAACGTCAATGATGCTTGTAGTTGCTGTCCATTGAGTCAAACAACTTGTGATGCTGGTGGACAATATATTATGAATCCAACAAGCAACGTGATTACGAATGATTTTAGGTATGCCATGATAATAATGTTAACAAACATTCCTTAGTGCTACTGGAAATTTAATCAATATATTCTTTTATAGCCCATGTTCAATCAACGATATCTGTAGCACGTTTCCAAATATCGGCACCTGTCTCCAAGGTTTGTTCCGTATATGATTTATGTATTGAATCTTTTTTAAATATTTTATCAATAATGGGAATTTTTAGATCCATCTACGAGTTCAAAACCCATTCTTACTTCCGCTATGTGTGGAAATGGGCTGAAAGAGTCAGGAGAAGAGTGTGACTGTGAGTAGACAACTATTTTATCTGGATTACTCTACATATAACTTTTGTTAATTCATTTTGATTTCAAACATATAGGTGGTACTGACTGCGCAAAGGATCCTTGTTGTGATGGAGCAACTTGTAAATTAAAGAGTGGTGCGAAATGCGAGTAAATAGATCATTTCTTTGCAATCTTAGATATAATTCATTCCATAACACATACTAATATGACTTCTTTCATAGCGATATGAATGATTTATGTTGTAGGAATTGTACTTATAAACCTGTTAATGAAACTTGCCGACCAGCGGTTTCCTCTTGTGATATTCCAGAAGTTTGTCCTGGAAATTCTGGTGATTGTCCGTCAGACTCACATATTTCAGATGGTACATCATGTGGCAATGGTCTTCAATGTGCTGGTGGCATATGTACGTCAAGGGATTTGCAATGTGCTACACGTGGTTCTCGTATGGGAATTACGAAAGCATGTACAATTACATCCTTTTCATCATGTACTATTAGTTGTGCTAATCCGAATGATACAACTCAATGCCTTGAAATGAGTGGATATTTTGTGGATGGTACTCCTTGTGGATTTTGTGGAAAGTGTAGTAAAGGAACCTGTGTAAACAGTTCATTTGGTACATAATCATTTGAAAATCTAATTATAATATTTCATCGACTATAATTAATATCTGTATATATATGCATTTTATAGGAGAATCTATCTTATGTTGGATAAATCAAAACAAAAATATAGCAATTCCTATTGCTGTAATTCTTGGATTACTTGTAGCATTATGGTTAGGCTGATTAATTTTATCGTCTATTTAAATTATTTAATTTACCAACAACACATTAACTTTATTCAAATCATTATTAGTTGTTGCCAATGTATTTATCGTAAATCCAAAAGACGACATAGTAGGTTCACAACACGTGTCCCCTCGATACCTCCAGATGAAGCAGCGGCTATAGGAAGCAGTAATTATAATCATAATAACTCAGGATGGGTTGATCCAACGCCGTACAATGGTCCTCCGACTAATAATGAACGTTACCCTAATCCGCGTGATCGAGCAACAAGCCCTAATAATGAACGTTACCCTAATCAGCGTGATCGAGCAACAAGCCCTAATAATGAACGTTACCCTAATCCGCGTGATCGAGCAACAAGCCCTAATAATGGCCCACGCCCACCACCAGGTCATCAATATACCGATCCGCTAATTCCGATAAATTCACCACCAACTACGTACAATCACATGCCCCGATCTGCGCCAGTGCAACAAATGTATTCCAATTCATTAAGACCATCAAGTCCAGGGAATCCGAGAAACTACGAAGCTCCGAGGAGCCCGAGGAATTATACAAGTCCGAGAAGTCCGAGGAATCATGATCATTTTGTAGATCCTACACCTTATAATGGGTATTAATATAGGACATAGACATTGTACTATATTGTTTTGATAGAGATTACTTAAATATCATTTCACCCTCATCTTTTTGCTACATTTCATTGTACATTTGTTTTTAACATTATCCGTAACTTTTTATATCCGTATATTTAGCATCTTCCAATTTTAATCTGATATTTAATTTAAGACATTGACATTCTAAAAATTAAAAAACTGGGCGTGTGTGATTTTTTTCTTTAAAAATAAAAACTTTATTTAATTCTATCAAATTGAAGTTTTTTTTTTTTTTTTTTTTGTCTGTATGGTGTAATATTTATGCATAAATTATAAATTTTCAAGTTAAAAAATGTTCATAATGAAACGCGTAGGTAAAATATTTCTAATATTTTGAACATATCTCGCACCAGTAATAATATCAGATCCAGTTAATAACTGTGATATAGCTGGTGGAGATGGTTCAAATAATGCTAATTTTGACTTTTTCATTTTGGCAGCAAAATCCTTTTGATTTATTTTTCTATTTGAAAGCTTGCAAGAAACTAGATTCTGTTTATATGCAGTATTAATAGATATACATACATACGGATCTGGTAGCACAATGATAAGATTTTTTTGAAAATTTATTCATCGATATTTTGTCTTGGTCTCTGACCTTTGAAAGACGACGCGTGACCATTTTCAAAGTACAAAATAATGGCCGGTTTGGGTGAAAAAAAATTAACAAAGACAACTCCTTCCACGTCATGGAGTTTAAGTTCTCTTCTTAATGGAATAGCGGAATACAGAGAGAAGCTTAATTTACCCAATCCAGGTACTTTTGAAGGTCTACACCGTGAGGTCAAAGGTACGAACAAACCACAAATATAAATGTTGAAAAAATCAGTTGATGGGCATTTAAATAAAACTACTGGACTCCGGCAACATATGCAGATAATTCAAAGTGGATACGCGTGTTACTAAGCAAGAATTCTTAGAAATAGCTGTTCGTTTTATTTTCCCATTGCAGCAACATTCCTTACAAACCAACTGTTCGATGGAGGGAGAGCCGATCTCACCAGAGTTTTATCACAAAATTTACAAGTCACGCATTCCTTCTCCATGGGTTCTGCTTTAACACCACCGATGTATAACTTTGGAGCTGCTTACATTGGCACAAAAGTAAGCATATATATATATTTTTCATTCGATAAATTACGAGTCATTTCGTCCGGCTAAAAAGTTTTTTTATTCAAATATACATCAATAGTCCTTCCTTCATGGTACTATTGACACAGATGGAACTTTATCGGCGCGTATGAATTATGCATGGAATGCAAAGAATGTGACCAAAATTCAAGCTCATGTATGAATAGATCCTTTTTTTTTCAAGATATAATTTATCAATCATTTAAAATTTCTTGAATTTGGTAAAATATTATTATCAAAGATAACATCAGTACCAGGGCATTCAATGCTTCAATTGGAACAAGACTACCAGGGGTCGGATTATTCCATTAATTATAAAACCATTAATCCATCACCGGTTGAAAATACTGGTATCTATATTTTAAGTTATATCCAATCTGTAACACAGAAGCTTGCCTTGGGTGTTGAAACTGTATATCAGAAACCTACGCCAGACAGTGAAGAATGTTTCAAGTCCTTCGTCGCAAAATATAGTGGAAAGAATTATATCGCAACAGTACAATGGCAAGAAATTGGCACCATACAAGCATCGTACTTCCAAAAGATTAACGAAAAAGTGGAGTTTGGGACAGAACTTCAAATTCTTGTAGGAAGAGAACGAAGAGATGCTTTATGCACAGTAGTATGTAGCTGATATGGTGTTAGTCTCGCTTTGTCCAGCAGCCAACCAAGCCGATGCTAATTGTTGAATTGTTTTCAAGGGTGGTAAATTTGATTTTCGGACGTCAACGCTTAGAGGCCAGGTAAGATGTTTATAATATTTGCAAACCACTTATTTCAATGATCATGTAATTATTTATGATCGATATGCTTTTAGGTGGATACTTCAGGTCGCGTATGCGTTGTAATAGAACAAAAAATAACACCAGCACTCAGTTTTCTAATCACTGGTGATATCGAACATATGAAGGTATAGTTATTCATTTGTTATTTCTCTATGTATCAAATCATTTTACTGATAATTTAAATGTTTATATATTTGGTTGATGGCTAATCGTTTTTATCAGAACACATCAAGATTTGGTGTGGGTATTCAATTGGAAGCATAGAATTTAGGGCTTTATAATTTGATGCACCTGCACCGTGGTGCACCTATAAGCACGTGATTGATTTATAAAAATATAAAATTCTAAATTTTATTTTAAAAAATAAAAATATTATTGTACGATAAATGTTGTTGCGTAACGATCGTCTTCAAACGTTGTTGCGTAACTATATATTTCTGCCACAAAACAGCGATATCAACTGAGATGATGATATTTGTGTTAGAATTAGAACCCAGTTTTTAAAACACTTAATAATACATGAATCGGTTGTTTTTATCTCATCTTGAACCTAATCAATAATTAGAACGCAACAGATGTAAAAATTCTATAAAAATTCTATAATCAAGGACATGGTTGCGATATCTTATTTCGGAAAATGCACTAGAAATTTATGGGGTCAGTAATAATAGTGTAGAATCACATAAATATTTTTTAGGGTTAATATTCGTATTAGGGCTTAATAGATTTTATTAATATATAGTATATATACTGTATTAGAAAAGTTTTTATACCAAATTAATAAATTGGTATATGAGATTTGCTATTTATCACCACTGGTGATTATCACCAGTTTGCAATATCTCAAAAATGGAACTAAGAAACTGGGGTTAGATGTATTAATTAAAAAATATTCAGGACCCCTGAAAACCTAAAATTTGATCCATTTTAGCTCAGTTATAAAATTGTACTCTAACTTTAAATTTATATATAGTAATAAAAACTACTAGTAATATAAAGTAATTTTAATTTATTATTTAAATTTTATTTTATATATAGTACTATTTATAGTATATTACAAAATTAAGTTAATAAAAATCAAGCAAATTTTTTTAATAATGTTTTTTAATCAAATTTGATAGTTTTTTTTTTGCTTTTAGAAGTTTTGTTCTTTTTATTTATAGTGTTATATTAGTATATTTTATTAGTATATTTTAAAAAATTTATTAGTATATTTTTTTTTTTTTTTTTAATGTTAAGGTAACTACTTTGAAGTCTGGCACATTTTATTGAACTTTGGTTCAAATGTCAGGACAACTACATGGGCTACCTCTGACTTTGTTATATTACAGTTAGGGAATATATCAAATTAGAATAATGTAAATTACTCTTTTTATAATATAGAAATATTGATCAGAAAGTTCTAAATATAAAGTAATTGATAATCACATGCTAAATAGCCAATTAGATTTGAAATACAATAAAATGAAATCGAATTTACTGTAAAAGTTTAAGCTCTATATTTTGTACAAATAGATTATTGAATTATTTTATTTAGAGATTTATGAACAAAATTAGAGATATAATAAAAATCAGATAATTTTTTAGGGGAGAAGAGAGGTAAAAATTTAAAATTATATATAAAGACCTAATCAATATATATATTAAAAGAGGAGAGGAAGGTAAGCTAATAAAAAAAAAATCAGGTGATAAATGATACTTTCTTTATTTAAATATTAATTTTAATTAGCTATGTATAATAGATTATATATCACTTTGATTACTGAATTACTAGAAAGATGTTTGAATTAGCTTGTGGCTTCAGATTTTTAACTCAAATAAAACATACTTATTATAATTTTATTACTATATTTTGCCTTGTAGAGTACCTTCTGATTGACTGTACTCTCTTGATTTATAGCAGGTATATTATCAGGTCTATAACCTGTATTTTTAATACAAGACCCAGTATAATAAACAGAGATTTTTATGCACATGATATATAAAAATATTGTTTTTATAATATGATCCTTACAAAAGACCCCTATATAGTATATCCTTGTTATATTAGCAAATTTATTAGTCAAATTTATTTAGATTATATATATTTTATTAGGCAATTTTTATTAGTCGAATTTATTAACAATTTTTATTATATATTTATTATATATTCTCTTAAATTTTATTATATTATTTATATTATTATTGTATATTTTATAGTATTATTAGTTTATTTATATAGTTTATAATATATTTTATTTATTTTAGTCGCTCAAATGATAGTTTATTATTAACTTTATTAGGATAGTTTTCACAAAATTCTATTTAAAACAATAGTTATTTAATTATTTAATTTATTAGTTCATTTGATGTAAATAGAACCTGGACCAAGATACACAAACACAAATGGTGCCCTAGGACAGCCCAGAATGATGTAACAACAATATGAAAGATAAACAAAGCCAAACAAATCTAAAATAGCAAAAGTGCTCTTGCTATATTAAAAGGTATCTATTCTATATTAAAAGGTGCTCATCCTATATTAAAAGATGTCTATCCTATAAAGAAAAGTGCCTTTGCCATAGTAAAAAGTGTCTAATTTCTAATTTTAATCATTTTAAGATGCCCTATTCACTATCTGGAAGTGCCTATCCACTATCTAAAAGTACTTATTCTATAATAGAAAGTGCCTTTCCATTAATAAAAAACACTCTTCTTTAATTAATTACTATGTTTTATAATAAGTTAATATACCAGAAAAAGATATATAAACTCTGCCTCTTTTCTCAAGGCAAGAGGACAGTTGGTTCCCATATTTTGGTCGCTATAACCTTGTTATTATATATTTTGGTCTTGAGAATAGGTCTTATTTTTATTTTTGTTATAATTTTGTATTAGGAATAAGTTCTATTTTTATTATTTTTATATTATTTTGTTGGAAATAAGTTTCTTTTCTATAATATTTTTCTTGGAATTATTATATTTTTCTTGAGTTATATATTTGTTTTATCTGTGTTATTTTTTTGAATATTATCTGAGTTAATAAATCTATCTTTTGTCTATAAACTTTGTTAGTTATAATTTTTTCTTTATGAGTGTTGTCATAGCAATAAGTCGACAATATTTTATCTCATTTATAAACTGTTTTTTTCTATAAATTATATAAACATATTTTTTAACTTCTCGTATACTTATTCAAGTAAGATAACTTATTAACTAAAAGTCTAACTTGTTACATTACACCCTCCATTATACAGTATATCCAGGGGGTATAAATCAAGAAAAACTGGTTTAGATAGTAAAAGACCTCAGGTACTTTCTATAACAAAATATAGTAAATAAAATATTCTTAAAGAATTTTACTAAAATGCATCTATAGTGTTTTATATTTATATATATATTATCTCAAAAACTATCTAATTAATCAGTGTAAGGTATTCTAAGTAAAAATGTTCTACACCTCCTAAAAACTCTTCTCAAATTCTAATTCTAACCTTAATATTATTAACTTTAATGTGAAAAAATTGGAGTTAAAAATTTTATATACAAAACTTATAAAAACTTAGAAAATTTAAAAAAAAACATAATAAAAACATATAATAGGTGCAAAACCACCATAGGTGTATTTTATAATAATTGTTCTTAAAATAACAGTTACTGGTATTTCAGATAAAATTTCTATATAATTATAGCAATGAATAAATATCTGTAAATCAATCACCATTCAATGCTTTTAGTACAATATATAAATATCACTAAGAAAAAATAAGATTTTGGGCTTTTAAATTTATTATTTATTATTTACTATATTCAGTTCTACTATTAAAATATATGATAAGATTGTTTATAGGCTAAATTTAAATTAATAAACAATAAACTTGAAAACCTGAAATTTCGTTTTATCTTAACAACACTTATATAAGTGCTGTTAATAAAAAATCTATAATCAGTCTTTTAATTTTTTTTACTTCAGCAATCCTTTCTTTATTTTATAAATCGGCAATAGAATATAAATAGATATTCAATTTAGTTAAATCCACATTATCCTCCATAAACTATTTAATGCCTGTCCAAATAAAGAATCTCTCGATCTATCTCGTTATCGCAACCTAATC